GTCTCTTGTCTTGTCCCTCTGCCTGCCTTTCTTGGACCTGCTGCCTGAGATGGGCAGGGGTCTGGTTACGTTCCTCCACTAAGTGGAGCCTCAAATTCTTGATTTGTAAGACACAGGTAACATTTGCTACTCTTAAAAGCAAGAGTGAGGGGCCCGGCGGTGTGGCCAAGTGGCTAAAGTCCTCACCTTGAACGTGCTGGGACCTCATATGGGCGCCGGTTCTAATCCCAGCAGCTCCACTTCCCATCCAGCTCCCTGCTTGTGGCCTGGGAAAGCAGTCCAGAACGGCCCAAAGCTTTGGGACTCTGAACCCGTGTGGGAGACCTGGAGGAAGTTCCTGGCTCCTGGCTCCGGATCGGCATAGCACCAGCCGTTGCACTCACCTGGGGAGTGAATCATCAGATGGAAGATCTTCCTCTCTGTCTCTCCTCCTCTCTGTATATCTGACTTTGTAATGAACTAAATAAATAAATCTTAAAAAAAAAAAAAAAACAAGAGTGGGGCTTCTATGTTTTAGCAGATGAAGGAAGCCAGATTTCCCCCTGAGAATGACACCAGAAAATTCCAAACAATGGGTGTGATTGAACATTATTGTCAACGTTACAAAAATCATTCAGTAGACCGAAAAAAAAAATGGGGCATGAATACACAGAAGCCCGCCCAAAAATAGACGAGAAGAGCAAATAGGCTTCACAGCTCAGACTGCCGATGGATCAGGGAGAGTGGGTGGATGGCAGCTTCACCTTGGAGGGCGACTCTAAGGCCCCGGGGCACAGTCAGACCTTCGCACACCCACCTGGGCTTTGATCCGGGGGTGGGACAGAACCCAGTCTAGACACCTTCTATCTTTGCTCTTCAATCATTTTTTGTTTACGCAGCACTAAGTTCTGCTTCTTCCTTTATAAATTATTTCCTTCTGCTCTTTAAATTTTTATTTTGTTCTGTATCTGGCTTCCTTCACAAGCGCCTCGTTCATTTAACTAATTTTTATTTTTAAATTAATACAAAAAGTAAATGCACGAGCTTTTCTCTTAATGCCATTTTACCTACCTTGTGTGATTCCTGATGCCATTTTCATTCTTTTGTAAGTATTGTGCTATTTGATTTAGTTTTCCTTTTTTTTTTTTTAATTCAAACATTGGTTAGGCATTTACAATTTCCCAAGGAGTGGGAATTTTTGATTTGCTCTTTTATCACTAATCTCCAGTTTTGAATTGTGATCAAATCATGTTACTCAGTGGCTCTACTTACTGAATGTGGAGCCTTTTCTCTGTGGCTAACAGTATGGCCAATCGTTATGAATGTCCCGTAAGTCCTTGGAAACTTACAGTCTGCATTTCAAGGCACAGAATTTGAGCTATTAGATTTCTCTCATTAATTATATTTGGAGGTCTTCTCGATCCGCATTTATTCCTTGTGTGAGGACTGGACTGATTTTCTCTGTATTCATTTACTCTTGTTTATTCATTTACTCGTGTGATGTGACGTGTTTCATAGATTTCCCTTTTCTGTTTTCCTGGTGGATCGTGTTTTTTTTATAAAAAAAAAAAAAAACTCCTTTAAAATTTAATCTAAATATTTTGCCCCCAAGGCAGCCTTAAGTTCTTGGGGAGCCCTGATTGCTTTATGTTAGCATATTTCTGATATATCGTTTCTAGTCTTGCGCATCTGAACATTCAGAAACACTTCATTGGAGCACTTTCCTGTCTACAGCTTAGAGCTACACGGTGGTTTGTGCTCCAATCTGATTGTTGCTTTTTATTATTATTTTTTAAGTTTATATTTATTTTTATTGGAAAGGCAGATATATAGAGAGGAGGAAAGACAGAGAGGAAGATCTTCTGTCCGATGGTTCACTCCCCATACGGCCACAATGGCTGGAGCTGAGCCAATCTGAAACCAGGAGTTCTTCTAGGTCCCCGATGTGGGTGCAGGGTCCCAAGGCCTTGGGCTGTCCTGGACTGCTTCTCTGGCCCACAAACAGGGAGCTGGATGGGAAGCGGGGCCACCGGGATTAGAACCGGCGCCCATATGGGATCCTGGCACGTTTAAGGCAAAGACTTTAACCGCTATTCTATTGTGCCAGGCCCGATTGTTGCTTTTTACATAGTGAACTTAGGTAACTTACATTTATTCATGTGAGCTATTTGGTCTTAGTTTTATCATATTGTTGTGTAATTTTTTTTTTTTAGATATTTCATGTTTCATTTTGTTGTTGTGTCTGTATTCTCCTGCTTACTGGAAAAGTGTTCATTTTTGTTCTGAGTTACCACATTAATATATCACTACATGAAGTCCCGAACCCTCTATTTATTTTGTTTGTTCTTTTAAAGATGTGCATTAAGATAAAGAGAACATATTTTACGCAGTTCATAGGTAAATTCTATAGAAATAACCCTGATGATTTCCTTCCCTCCTTCTACCCTTCTTTCCTCCCTTCCTTCCTTTTTTCTTTAATTGTTGCAAATATATAATTTTGGTCCACTATATAATCATAGGATTAATGGACCAGTATCATAACATTACACAAGAAAAAGTATAGAGACCAGGGTTCCCCAAGAGCATAAACAAGAGCTAAACCAATCACATCACAAGATGGCTGGCTCATCCTAGACACGTTTTTCTGTATCCTATATTAACTACTACATATTAGCAAAGACGCGCCTTTTTGGAACTTGTTATTTCACCAAGGGTAGTGCATTTCCGGTAGCATACATTTTGTTTCAAAAGACAAGCTTTCATTCTGTTAGTGGCTGAGTAGTATGCCATCGCGTATGCATATGGTGCTTTCTTTATCCAGTTATCAGCTGATGCGCGTCTGTGCTGAGTCCATGTCTTAGATAATGTGCCTTGCGCTGCAATAAAAATGGAGATGCAAGTAACTCCTTCATATAGTAATTTCACTTCCTTTGAGTAAATTTTCAGGAGCCATATGGTAGGCCTATTTTCAAATTTCTGAAAAAAAAAAAACCTCGATATTGTCTTCCATAACGTTTGTACTACTTTACATTTCCATCAATAGAGTATCCTTGCTGGCATTTATTATTTTCTGATTTTTGCATGGCAGTCATTCTAACTGTAGTAAAGTGAAACCTCACTGTAGTTTTTCTTCGCTTTTCCTAACGGCTAGTAATCCTGCACATTGTTTTTTTCATGTGTCGTTGGCCATTTCTATCTCATCCTTTCAAAAATGCCTGTTTATGCCCTTTGCACATTTCTTAACTGCATTGTTTGTTGTGTTGCTATTCAGTTTCTTGAGCTCCTTACGGATTCTGTATAGCAATCCTTTACCAATCGTATAGTTGCAAATATTCTCTCCCTTTCTGTTGGCTGCCTCCTCTTTGTCACTTCTTCTGCAATGCAGAAGCTTCTTAGCTTGGTGCCATCCCATTTGTCGATTTTTACTTTTGTTGCCTATGCTTCTGGTGTAGTTTCCAAGAAGTCTTCAACTCTACCAGTGTCTTGCAGAGTTTACTCCAGTAATTTGATTGTTGTCTCATTTTGAATCCCCTTCCTTGGGTTGTATATTACCTCCCCACTGCACTTCTCATTTCCTGCATTCCCTCCAGTGGCCTAATCATCAGCTTATAATAACTATATGAGTATTCATGAATTTCAGAAATCGGTGTTCACTATAACAGAATTAAAAAATTATTCGCTCCAAACTGGCTTCTCAATTCTATTTTCCGTGAGACTTTTGAAGTAACTTTGTATTACCATTCTTGGTATGTTTCTTTGGAATAAGATGGCTGTTTAAATGTCTACTATTTGATTAAGAATCTTGAAATATTTTTGACACTCAAAAAGATGTGAAAATTATACTCACATGAAGTTCTGTTTCATCTTTCCCTGGTTTTTAAATTGATATCATTTTTAAATCAGAAGCTTTGTAAGCTTTACCTATATTCTATTATAGATAAAACTATTATATTTCTATTATATAGTATTTATATATTTATATGTATCATATATATATATCTTACATATATTGAAAGGAGTGAGAGAGACCTTCCATCCAGTGAGTCACTGCTCAAATGCTGTAATCCTGGATGATGGGCCAGGCCAAGCCAGGAGCCGGGAACCAGGAGCTCCACCCAGGTCTCCCCGGTGGGAGGCAGGGGCCCAAGTTCTTGAATGATCAGCTATTGCCTCCCAAGGCGCACCTTAGCAAGCAGCTGGGATGGGGGGAGTGGGGACTCCAAACCCGGCGTTCCTGTATGGGCCACAGAAATTCCAAACTGCGTCTCAGTCACTGTGCCACCCACCCACCCACACACACACACACACACACACACACACACTAATGCTCAGCTTGGGTTCTTGGTTTTACATTTAATTCAGTGCTCTGAGTTTTATATTTAATTCAATTGCCACTCGTGGTATCTCACCTATGGAAATTTATTTTCAAGTTTTTAAATTTGCTTATTCACATATAAAAGACTGATTTTCAATGGATGAGAACGTGGGATGGAGTGCAGTTCTCCCCTCCTCACAGACTAGCAGGCCAAGCTTGGCACCATTTTTTTTTTTAAGATTTATTTTAATTTTTATTGGAAAGGCAGATATACAGAGAGCAGGAAAGACAGAGAGAAAGATCTGTCTGATGATTTACTCTCCAAGTGAGCGCAACAACCGGAGCTGAGTCAATCCTAAACCAGGCGCCTTTTCTGGGTCTCCCACATGGGTGCCGGGTCCCATCCTTGACTGCCCTCCCAGGCCACAAGAAGGGAGCTGGACGGGAAGCGAGGCCGCCGAGATTAGAACTGGCGCCCGTATGGGATCCATCAGGGACAGGCGAGGACTTTAGCCTGCGAGGCTACGGGCTCCGCACCATTTCTGAGGTCCACGCTCCCCAAGCCTGGCGCCGCGGCGACACCTGCTGGTGCAAGAAGAGGACGCGCGCGTGGAGGAGACCCTGCAGTGCAGTCCTCCTGCCGGCGGGGGGCAGTGAGCCGACGCTCCCGCGCCGCGCGCGCACTCTCGGGCGCGCCTTCCCGTCGGCCCCCGCTCCCGACCCCGCGCCGCGGAGCGCCCAGCGTCTTGGGCTGCGGGTGGGCGGCCGCCGTGGTGGGCTCGCGGCTGCAGGCGTCCTCGGAGTGCGGCCCGGCTCCGCGCTGCCCCCGGGGCGGCTCATGGGCAGAGTCGGCGCGGCCGGCTGGGTGAGTGGCTGCCCTCGCGGGCCGGGAGGCGCTGGACGCGAGGCCGCGGCGGCTGTAGGCCGGGCCGGGAGGTGGAGGGGGGTTCGGCCTGGCCAGCCCGAGCCGCGGGTGTGTGTGTGTGTGTGCGACCCTGGACCCTGCTCCGGGTGTGTGTGTGCGACCCCGGCCCCTGCTCCGGGTGTGTATGCGTGCGACCCCAGCACCTGCTCCGCGCCCTGGTCCGCCACCCTCGTCCCCCCAGCCTTTTCCGTGTATGCCTCGGCCTCTTTGGAACTCCTTGTCCTGACCAGGTTGTCCGCTCTGAGGGTGTCACCCCCACCAGGCTGGCCTCCTGGACCCCGAGATTGGGAGTGGCAGGTGCCGGCATCTATGGAAGCGGGCAGCTCACCCGGAGAGGTGACGGCAGCCTCCCTGAGGGGTGTGAGCGTCTCCTCTGGCTGCAGCTTGAAGGAGATGGTCCTTGGTCGCCTGGAAATCCACCCAGCTGGATCGAGCCGGGGTCTGGCGAGGCGCACACCAGGTCCTCCAGGTGTCTTGTTGCATGTGCGAGGTGAGGACGAGGTTCCTCGGGCAGGGAATGGGGTGCGCAGTCTGCAGGGGCCAGCCCCTGGCGCATGCTGGAGACGGCCAGGAGAGCAGCAGGTCTGGCGCCCATATGGGAGATCAGAAGCGTCTATGGGCGCTCTTGGCAAGGTCCTGTTGGCCAGAACCGGGCCTAGGATGGAAAATGGAATAGACGAGAGACCAAGGTGATGAGTAGAGAAGTCTGCCTTGCTCTTCAACAGCGTTCCCACGTTGTTGGTGGTTGTAGGCTGCCGGCATTTTGAGTAGACTGGCTTACAGGGAATGTGAGGCGAACAAGATAGGAACCGACACTGGGAGCATTTTATTTTCATCATTCGTGCAGCAGTCTGCCGCGTGCTGTGTAGCTGAGAACGGAGTGGAGTGTTAGCGTGGCTGTAAGGTGTGCAGAAGTGGTGACAGAGAGCCGTTTCCTCGTGGAGTTCTAGGGAACCTAAACACCTCCTTTACGGAGAATGTTGAGAAAGGTGTACACCCCCAAAAGTGTTGACAGTGGATTTCCTTTATAACCTTTCTGTTTTTTCCTGGACACGCGTTTTCCAACCTTTCGCTGCTCCTGGCAGGGAACAGGGGATCCAGTTGTTGTGGACCTCAGAGGTAACAGCAGGACCAGCTCTTAAACCGCTGGATCACACGGTTGGGCTTTGCACTGCACTGCGCTCCGTGGTGTTCTGCTGGTACAGAGCGTGAGGATGAGAGTGGCGTATTGAACTGATGAAAACCAAGTTGTTGCAGATGTAATACAGGGGACACATGGCGATTACAGCTTCTGCGTTTGGGGACATCGAAGTGCATGACCCTGACTGCCCGCTGTTTCTGTGCAGCTTGACAAAGCCAGATTCAGTGAGGCAGCTTTCATTTCTCATTGGATTTCTGCTTACTGATCTCAAGGTTCTATTTAAGCCTGCTGTTTGAGAGGCCAGAACTCAGGCCCTGCCTTGTTATTGGTTGTATGGTGGTGGTTTTTCCTCTGATTCATTTGGGTTTGCAATTTTAATTTTTCCTTTCTTACATCACATTCCACTTGCCTTATGTCCTTAAAGAGCAGGTCTGCCAATTTAATTTCTTGATAATGTGATTTAAGTAATGCATTCATTTTCCACCAATTCAACTGATAAAATCTTGAAATTTTGTTTTTCTTCTTTAAGATTTATTTGAAAGAGTTACAGAGAGATATCTTCCGTCTGCTGGGACACTCTCCAAGTGGCCACGCTGGCCAGAGCTGAGCTAGGAGCTTCATCTGCATCTCTCATGGATAGTGGAGTCTATATACTTGGGCCACCCCCTGCTCTTTTTCCTAAGCCATTAGCAGGGAGCTGCATTGGAAGTGGAGCAACTGGGATACACATCAACTCCTATATGGGACACTCGTGTTGCAGATGGCAGCTTTACCTGCAATGGCACAATACCAGCTGCTAGAAAAATATTTATAGACTTCTTACTGTGTTCCAGGCATATTGCAAAGCCAGAGATTAAAAATGAAGCCAAAAACACTGTAAGAGGTATTTGTTTATCTTGACAGTTGGAGGCAGCATAACAGGTTGCTAATAATCCCAGTAAATTTAGTATATGTAGTGGGAGCAAATTGGGGGTAGCTTTGGCATGGGAACAGTAGTTACAAAGGCTTCTACGATACGTAAGTGAAAGACAAGTGGGTAGGAAGTTTCTGAGACATCGTACACGTTCTTCTTCATGCTAATAGTACTTATGTAAAAACAATACTCCACACGAGTGGGCATCTGCTTACTGGGGGGTGTGATGCTTGCATTCCATGACACAGTACTGCTGACTGCAGCTTCTGGTCAGTGCAGGCCCTGGATAGCTGTAGTAATAATTCAAGTGGTCAGGTGTCTGCCTGCCACCCGGGGGACCTGTGTTCAGCTGGCGCCCAGCCTCAGCTGTTGGCAAGCGTTTGGGGAATGAACCAGCAGATGGAGCTTTCTCTTTCTGAGTCTTCAAAAAAAAAAAAAAAGCTCTGCAGCTTTGTGCAGTCTCGAAAATTCACTATTCTTCCTTCCAGCAGAATCATGTTTATTGTGTTCTTAATATATAAAGGAAGGTTGATCAAAGGCTGCTGTTGATATAATGGACTTCATGGCAAATATATTAAGGAAGTTAGAAATACCAGCTGTTGATATTTGCTTTGGATCCTGTCTGCTTATGATATTTCTAAATGTTAGAAAATGCTGATTTTTATTCATCAACTGGAGCCAGACTTTATGAAATGAATGTCTTATATGTTATCCAGGTACTATCCTCAACACTAAATCTGTTAAATGTGAGTATTGACAGAGCCTTGGTAAGGCACTTGTTAAATATGTTTCATTGCCATGGGGAGAATTAATAAACTGGGACAAAAATGAAAGTTGCAAGCACCTTTTAAAGAAGAGCTGTGTTAAGACTGTAAACACAGGGTGGGCATTTTACGTGGTGGTTTAGACGTAGCTTAGGACACAGGCATGCTTGTCAGTGTCCTGGTTTAGCGCTCAACTCCAGTTTCTTGCAGGTGGGTACCCTGGGAGGCAGCAGATAATGATGCCGTTAGCACTTGGATCCCTGATGGGAAAAGCAGACTGAGTTCCAGGCTGCTAGCTTTGGCCTGGCCTAGCCATGACTGCCGCAGGCAATGGAGAGGGGGCCAGCAGATGAGATACACACCTACCTCTTCCCCCACTCTCCCTCACCACCTTTCAGATAAGCAAATAACTTCTAAACATCATTTGAATAAATTTGTTTGAAAAGACAGCAAGGAAATAATAAGGCAAATGGGATTCAGAGAAAGTCAGGTGAATGGCTTGGGGGCAGGGCATGTGATTAGGTATGATTTCTTGTCCAGATCCTGTCTTATTTAGAATGGTAAATTCACAAGTGCTTGTAGCATTATAACTAAGTAAGGGCAAGTGATACATGCATGAGTGGATTAGAACAATGTATTGCTGCAGTGATTAATACAGTTTTGTGAACTTCAGTGAAAGTGAAAAAATGAAAACATCTGTGTTTACTGGGATTCACAGATTTGATTTTATAAGCTCTTATAGCAAACTGGCAGAAACTGGTAAGATGACATTAGTTTCTAATACTTAAAATGTGTTTTAGAGGTTTGGGAAAACAAGTGAGGAACTTTAGTTGAATGCAAGATTTTTCTGCATAAATGACCGTAAAGCTTTCAGAGCAAGGCAGTCCAAAGGGGTTGTCAGCCACCTGCAATTTAGACATGAAATGGAAGAGAGGAGCGTGGCCTCATAAACCTCATAACTCAGCTAGGAAGTGTTAACATGTTAGACCGCTAAGTGTGGAGTCATGTTGGAAACAGATCCTCAGTCGGGCTTGAGTTTTACCCAGAATGCTGAGGCGTGTCTCCGTCCGCTGCAGTGTTCCAGCTGGGGAGGTGCGCTAGTGCTCAGGGTCACTCAGCATGCTGTCCCCCGCCACTGCCTCTTACTCTTTTCTTTTTGAACTTATGATTGTATTGTGAAATGTCCTAAATATAAAACTTCAGGATTTTGCCATTCAGTAAGCACTGGGTTCTGTGCAGGCATCCCCACTGTCCTTCTCTGGGTCCTGTTGCCTGTGTACTTTGCAGTGGAGCCTGTTAACATTGCTTAGTTTGTGTTGATTTATGTGGCTACAATTTAGAATTTGTATTGCATTAAACAATTTAATAAATGTTAATTAAATTTCTACTCCATATTAAGACATTGGAGATTCAAGAATGAATAAGCTGATCTCCCTATTCTCCATTATGTGAGAGAGTATTTGGTTATCTTATTTGCTTTTTTACATATTTGGAAGATCTCTAAAGCAGTTCTCAAGTTTCTTACAAAGTGATATTGAGAGAAATAAACATCTAAAGTAGTGTTTAACTTCAGTTCGTAAGATTGAAGAAAACAAATGAACTTGTAGTTTATGAAGCTGGAGATAGCATGCTTGGTCATTTCTGACTGAAAACTAATACTTTCCTGAGGACCATGGGGCTAGGATGAACTCGCTTGCTTTTTTCGCTTCTGCTTTTACTGAGTCCTCCCACGTTAGAGTTCAAGCATATGTGTGTCTAAGTAAGAATGAGGAGTTTGGAATTCCAGGTGAACTATGAGAAAAGTGCAGAAAAGCCACTGAGCACAGTGTTCTTTAGAGCCGAAGTGTTGCTGCCCAGAATTCCTGAATAGATGGCATGGAAGGGCTTTGCAACTAGACCTTTAACGCTGTCTGACCTCATTTCCTACCTAGCTTTGGGCTGAGCATTGATCTGTAGTAAAGAATGGTGTAAGTTGGGTCTAGCTTTTTGTAGTGTACGATAGAGTGGGTTAGCCTGCCAGGTGAGTGCCAGGTTCGTGAGCCCTGGGGGTTGGGGATCAGCAAGGCTTGGGTTGCCTGGCCCGGGTCCTGAGGCCCACATGCAAGGTGGATTCTGGGTTTGTGAGCCCTGGGGACGTGGGGATCCAGTAGGGCTTGGGTCACTTGGCTCTGGTCCTTCAAACTGCCAGTGAGTAAAAAAGGTGGAACTGTGGACACAGACCCTGGCACACATGGGGACTATGGCGGTACTGTCACAGAAGAAAGAACAGAGCAACCTGGACAACTACCCCAGCAAATGATGACAGCGAAAATCTGTGAATGGAGACTTGAGGTCAGCTATGTCAGCCAACAGATATTGGGAGGGTTGCCTTATCCTTGGATCGGCAAAATCGACAGCATTTCAGAACTATCCAAATTGCTTGATCAGACCCCTCAGAACATACACTACAGCCGGACCGTGAGTTGATACTGGGTGATGGTTCTCCATCCCTGGTTACTGGGACATTTCAGAGGCTGGGTGTGGCTTCCCCCTTCATCTATCCCCTTCCCCCAGAGACAGAAAGAAAGAAAGAAATTGAAAACAGTGATTCCACCCACTTTTCCCTGACCCTCAGTATCCTTCCCACTCTGGTCAATCATGTAATAATCATCAAAAATAAATAAATATAAAATAAAACAGAAGCAATAGAATGGGTTAAAATAGGTTCTGCAGTGTATCCTAAGAGGGTTTTTTTGCAAAACTTTGAAGAAGTGGACCAGTTCTCAGTCATCCTTGTTAAGCAATGAAGTTTATTGTTCTTGATTTGGCATCCATGCATGCATCGTGATTACGATACAAGGTATCACCTTCTGAGTCAGTTTGACTTTGTGCTGTTGCATGTGCTGCTGTCAGCAGTGCCCATGGGTTGCCTCCCAGGAAGGCGTATGTGGGAAGAGATTCTGTAAACCAACTTCCACTTCTTTGTGTCTGTTGGAGCAATCAGACACCAATACCCTAGGGCTCTGCTTTTAGAAACCCTCCTTCTTCATGGCCTTGGGGACCTTTGATTTTAAAAATTAAAAAAAGGAAAGCTTTCAAGTACGGAGAAGTGAAGCTGCTGTGAAGAGCTGCAACCTGTTGGTGGTAACGGCTTCAGGCAGGGCCTAATTGCAGGAGAGCAGAGCGGCTGTTCTGAGATGGGTGTTGGTGTCCGCTCAGTACCCCACCCCATGTGGTGTGCAGCCGAGGGCAGCTGAGGTGTGGGGTGGCAGGGTCTTACCATACTAGGAAGGCTGAGAGGAAAGAATGCACTGAAGTTAAAATTAAAAGGATTTTCCCTGAGTCAAACCTGGGGTGAGGAATTTAAATATTTTCCTTCTGAGTCAGAACACAAATGGAATAGGATTTGGTATAAAGTGGTTTCTTTTTTATTATTTTTTATGATTACATGGTTGATTAGGGTGGGAAGGATCGAGATTTAGGAAAAACTGGGTGAACTCATTGTTTACAGTTTTGCTATTCCTTGTTTCTGGGGAAAAGGGAGAGAGAAAAGGGGGAAGCCACAGACAACTTTCCACGCATCTCAGGACCCAAGGACGAGGAACTGCCACCTCATGTCAGCCCAGAGTCTCACTGTGTACATATTCTGAGGGTTCCGTTCAAGTGGTTTGGATAGTTCTGGAATGCTGCTGGTTTCACCGATCCAAGGATGATGTCACCCTCCCAGTGTCCACTGACTGATATAGTAAGTTTCAAGTCTCCATTCACCAAGGTTTTTTGCTGTCATCGTTTGGCTGGGGTAGTTTTCCAGTTTGTTCTGTTGTTCTACTACAACGCCAAATGACCTGCCATATTCCCCTTTTACAAAAACAGGGCCTGTGCCCACTGTTCTGCCGTTTTCATTAAATAGGATGCTTTCTTGCACGTGAGTCCAATGAGCTGGGCCAGGTGTCCAAGCCAGATCCCCCACTCCTGGGGCTCACCAGCCCAGCACCCACCTAGTAGGCAGGCCCCAGGACCTGGGCCTGGCAACCCAAGCCCCCACATCAAGTAGTTTCTATGGGAAAATGCTTTCTGGGCCCTCTGGGAAGTGACAGGCTTGGAATGTGTAGAAGTTGGAAACGACCGTATTAAGCATTTACTTATCATTTGTGGAATTCAGCTTAATTGTTTTTTCTGTAAGAAAGATCTCTTATTTTGAGAAGAAGAATGTTTGCAGGTTTCAGAATGTTGAAGGTGTTTGCTTGTTTGAAGGTAGCAGTTGGGGTTTACTGGCATGGTCTCAGTGTGACTGGCTTGCAAGGGGCTTCTCATTGCGCTCTGGCAGATTGACCCCCAGATCTCGTTTGCCTCAGCTATAAACCGCAGGGCTTTGAGTTGGTACATGTGGCAGTTAACTTCGAGCCCGAATGGACAAGCATAGTTCCTGTTAACTCTTAACTTTTTGTTGTTACGTATTCGTCTACACTCACGAGGATATTGTATGTTGCTGTCACATGTAGGTGGTGATTATTTCTTTATAATCAAAGATTAAGATTACAAATCTCTATTTAATACGTTATGAGGAAGTCAGAGCACCTTTCTACTCCCCTTTTGACAATCATATTTATAAAATTAGAGCATCTCTGAGGTGCTCTATATTTTCTCTTAAGAGTATTTTCATTTTCTTCTCGCTGCAAATCATACTTAATTATGCTGTTAACTCTGGTAATTGACATTTTTGAAGAGCATCTACTTTTTCCCATTATAAGTGGAATTTAAATTAAAAAAAAAAAAACGGATATGTGTGCGACTGGCATTGTGCAGTAGGTTAAGCTGCCGCCTGTGCTGCCTGTATCCCATATGTGTGCTAGTTGCTCACTTTCTGATCCAGCTCCCTGCTGACGTGCCTGAGAAAGCAGCAGACACTGCTTTGGGCATCTTCTGCCCAGTGCTTGGGCACCTGCTAGCCCAAGGGAGGCCCAGGTAGAGGTCAAAGCTCCTGGCTTCAGCCTGGCCCGTCCTTTGCTGATGCAGACATTTGGGAAGTGAACCAGCAGGTGGAACCGCCATCTCTGTATCCAACTCCCCACTCCCTTCTGTAACTCTTTGAAATAAACAATTTTTAAAAATCAGATAGGTATAATTATGCCCCAAATCTAGAACATCTTCCTCTTTTCTTATCAAATACTATAAGACCAAGGGATTTCACTTTGAATCACTTGGCCACATGATCTTATAGGTGGGAAAAATTAGTTCTGGAAATTTATTTCTGATATATGTCACAAACATAATTTCATATATTGAAGGATGCTGGATCCTACATTCCATGATGTTAAAGGAAGACTGTGAAATCTTTGTTGCATTTTGCATTCTTTAATCTTGACCCCTCTTGCCTTTCAGCACTAAACTGAAAAGATGTCCTTGTACGATGACCTAGGAGTGGAGACCAGTGACTCGAAAACAGAAGGCTGGTCCAAAAACTTCAAACTCCTGCAGTCTCAGCTTCAGGTGAAGAAGGCAGCTCTCACACAAGCAAAGGTAAGGGCGTGCTCAGGCTCTCGAACAGGTGTCTGCAGGGTGGGCTCCTCCCAGGGTTACAGGTAATGTGGTTTTAGCTTGTTCTTCTGCCTTTTACTGAGTAAATGGTGTTAAACATGAAGTCTACTGCTGGTTAGTTCTTTGCAATGTAAATATTTCTTGGAGAAGTAAAGTGGTGCTGTCAACTTCCAGTAGTGAGTCTGAGTTTTAAACTTCCGTATATCTGAGACTGAATATAGTGTGTTTAAAATGCTGATTTTGTAGCCATAGCCCCAATATTCTGGTAATTTCTGGCTCTGGGCTGGGGCCCCAGAATAAATTTGTTTGTTTGTTTGTTTTTTAGATTTATTTATTTTTATTGGAAAGGCAGATATACAGAGAGGAGGAGAGACAGATAGGAAGATCCTCTGTGCAATGGTTCACACCCCAAGCGGCTGTCATGGCTGGAACTGAGCCAATCCAAAGCCAGGAGGCAGAAGCCTCAAGCCTCCTCCAGGTTTCCCATGTAAGTGCAGGGTCCCCTTTGGTCCGTCCTGGACTGCTTTCCCAGGTCACAAGCAGGGAGCTGGATGGGAAGCAGGGCAGCCAAAACTAGAACCAGCACCCCTATGGAATCCCAGTATGTTCAAGGCGAGGACTTTAACCACTATACTATTGTGCCAGGCCCTGTTTGCTTATTTTAAGGGTAAATTATGAGGCCAGTGTTGTGGCACAATGGGATAAGCTGCTAGTGCCAGCATCATATGGGTGTTTGCATCCTAGCTCATCCACTTCCCATCCAGCTCCTGGTTATGGCCTGGGAAAGCAGGGGAGGATGACCCAGTGCCTGAGGACCCTATATCTGCATGAGTGACCCGAAAGGACTCAGAGTTTCTGGCTTTGGATCACCTCAGCTCCAGCCATTGGCATCCATTTGGGGAGAGAGCCTAGTGGATGGAAGATCTTTCTCTGACTCTTTCTGTAAATCTGCCTTCTCGATAAAAATAAATAACTCTTAAGGGAAAAAAGATAAAACAATTTTGAGATATGTCCTTTCTGTAGCCTATAACAGTTGGTTTTTTTGTTTGTTTTTTGTTTTTTTTTTTTCCTTTATTCTAAATAAATATTGACTTTTACTGAATGAGACATTCTGTGTCTGGGAAAATACCATATGATTGTTATCCTTCATTCTGTTGATGTCAGGTATCGTGTTGGTTTGTGTGTGTTGAACCATGTGTCTCTGGGGCACATTCCCTCCAATCGTGGTGAAAATTTTTGTGCTATTGCATTAGAATTGCACGAATCGTGCAGAGGAGGTGTTTTATGTGTTCATCAAGGATATTGAACTGTGGTGTTCTTTTTGTTGTAGCCTTGATACAAGGCGGCGCTGGCTTTGTAGAAGGAATTTAAAAGTCTATTTTCAGTTTTTGTTTTGTTTGTTTGGGGGTTTTTTGTTTGTTTTTTGACCAGCTGGAGAAGAATTAGTCTCTTTGTTTTATACATTTGATAATTGAGTGAACTTTGGTTCACTTAAGTTGATTAATATTGTTACATTCAAGAGATGAAGCTTATTCTAACCATTTTGTAGTGGTAGTAATGAAGTACCACTTTAAATTACCAAAAGGGAGAGCCTGGCACAGTGGCCTAGCAGCTAAAGTCCTCTCCATGCATGTACCAGGATCCCATATGGGCACCAGTCCTAATCCCGGCAGCGCTGCTTCCCATCCAGCTCTCTGCTTGTGGTCTAGGAAAGCAGTCGAGGATAATACATGGGAGACCCAGAAGAGCTTCTGGCCTCAGATCAGCTTAGCTCCAGCCGTTGCGGTCACTTGAACGAAAGGTCTTCCTCTCTGTCTCTCCTCTTCTCCTGTGATGAGCCTCAGCGTTGCTGATGGACAGCCTGCTCTGTGCCTCTTGCGTGATCCCAGCTGTGGAGATCGTCTGACAGCGTCACCCTGAGCTGATTCCATTCGTTCCCTTCAGTTAATTGCAGTACAGAAAGAATAAGTTAAACTAGATCGCTAGGAAGTTATTGAGCAGAATTAGAATATGTAGCGTTTTACAAGACAGTGTTTGTAAATAAGAGAAGGAAATGAAAATTATTGGTTATAGTGCAAGGAAGCAAGACTATTTTGTTCTAAATCAAGACACTTAGAAAATAAATGTGTTTTCAGGAGCTTTGGTAGGACCCTGATTTTTTGTTTGTTTGTTTGTTTGTTTGATTTTGGTTTTTGTTTTTTGTTTAATCAGCTACTTAAAAGATATTTTGGGAACAACTTAGAAATTACTGAATTATTGATTTTGTTAGATGTGGTAATATGGTAAGGTGAGGGAATGTCCTGAGTTTTAGGAAACTGGTGTAAGATGTCATGCTGTAACCAATTTTCAAATGATTCAGGAAAAAAAAAAAAGGTGTAGGTTAAAGAAAATATGGTAAAACATAAGTAGTGATCACATTTTATGAATAATTTCTCCAATTTTTTTTTCTATAGGTTCCTAATGAAAGAGCAGGGTTGTATTTCCTAATAGCAGGGAAAATGACCTTCATCCTCAAGTGTCACCTGTCCAGGAAATGAAAACAGACCCATTCCTTGTCATACAAGTTAAACTGTAATGTGCTGACAGATGTGACCTGTGATCGAAGGAAAATCCAGTGTAAAGCTTTTCTCCCCATATTACTTTTCTTATTTCTGGTCATTTTAGAGCCAAAGGACGAAACAAAGTACAGTGCTTGCCCCAGTCATTGACCTAAAGCGGGGCGGCTCCTCGGATGATCGACAGATTGTGGACACACCTCCACATGTAGCAGCTGGACTGAAGGTAAGCCCACACTTCACCTGTGACGCTGATGCATGTTCCTGCTTTGTTTACTTTTTAAATTATTAATTATTTTTATTTTTGATGACTCTTACATAGTTGATTGGAGTCAAGGGCTACAGGAAGGTGGGTGAGATCGCCATTTCCACATTCTCTTTTTTTTCCTTCCTGTATCTGGGAGAATGGGGGAGATAAAGGGAGAAGCTATACCCACCCTTCCAAACACCTCTGCACTCTGGGATGGAGGACAGCCAGCCGACACCACCCAAGGGTCCCCGATGTGGGGCATGCTCTGAGGGTCCTGAGATTTCAGTAGTCAACAGTTCCTAATTACTACCTATCTCCCCACTCCCAGCATGATGAAATCTCTCCAGAATCCACTGGCTGACATAGTTTACCTTAGCGTCTCCTTTGCCCAGTTATTCACTACCAACATTTGCTGGGGTAGTTGATCGATTTGTTCTGTCCTCCATCCTCTGTTGTACTAGATGTCCTTTGCAAACTCCAACATACTTCCATATCCTCCATGTGCACCTGGATATGCTGTCCATTGCTCCACCTAAGCCACTGACGAGGCGCAGCTCTGACACATACACTCCACGATCAGACCGTGGAACCTGCAATTCTCTCCATGGTTGGGGTTCTGAGTCCAGCAATTCAGTTGGGGGGATCCCCATAGAAACTTCATCTGAGGCGATCCCAGACCTGATTCTTGTATGTGCTTGCCAGTACAGGGTCCAGCACTAGCTTTCACATGGACTGGCATGTGGTGGTCAGTAATATTCCGTGCTAACAAGCCCAACTCCAGATTCCCATGTGGGCTGCTGTGTAAGTCTGACCGTACAGATCTGCCAGTCTCCCCCTCCAAACCACCAAGTCTCAGTCCTCTTGCTTACCTGCAAGTACATTGACCCTGTTGTTGAGTATCCCTCAGGAGTCATTCCTCACCTACATGTACTGTGGCCTTATCCATGGATGTTCTTAGGCAGTAATTCCAGACCCCCAAGACCTCAGAGTTCACCACAGTGCAGCCAAAGGGCAAAGCCCAAGATTCGCCCACCACTTGGCAGCGGCGGATGGGGAGCTAGGATCCCCAGCAGCAAGCCTGGCCCTCCATGGGTTCTCCCAGCCTCGTGGCTCTGGCTGAGAGATTCAGACACCTGCACGTCCGAGCAGACTTACCTGGACCCTGCCCCCGCAAATGGGGGTGGTGTGCGGAGCCATGATCCTGAGCATGCCCAGAGCCGTGCCTGAGATTGGCTGCAGGATGATCGCTGTGGACAGAGGAAGTTCTCAGACCTGAGGCTTGGACAAGCCCGGGATTCACCCACTGCTTGGCAGCAGCAAACAGGGAACTAGGATCCCAGCAGGAAGCCTGGCTCTTCATGGGTTCTCCCAGGCACAGCATGCGGCTGGGAGATTCAGACACCCCACCTCTGAGCCGACTTACCTGGACTCCCCATGTTCCTGCCTAGTATAAAATGTTTTATGTGTATGTAGCTCTTTAATAGGTCATGGCATTAGGCCTTTGAGTTCTAGTCAGTATTATTTCCAGCTTGATTTTTGCTGGTATCAATTTTAAAACTTGTGTGTATTAAAAATAGTTGTTATAGAAAAATAAGAAACAAAATGTACACAAAGAAAACATTGAGTCCTGCCCATCTCCCGCAACATTAAAAGCTTTATATTTTAGAAAATCTTTCTGTTCTGTGGTTCCTCTCCTTCTGTACGAGATACGAGTTTCTGATATTTTTCTATCATAAATAGTGTTATTGCTTATTATTTTATTGTGGATTCATACAGGGTTTAAAAACAATAATACTTCTCCCACCCTAACCTTTATTATCCCAGTGATTTTACCTATGCCTCAAAAGAGACATGGCCAACTCCAAACTTGGTTAACTTGGATGAGGAAGATTTGTAAAAGGATAACTCAAAATCATAGTATATATACTATTATGTATAATTGAATTTAATATAAATTAAAATTGCACTCACAGTTTAGGTGTCTGCTTATCTTTCCACAAATGGCATTCCAATAAGAAGATTGTGGTAAACAATTCCATGAGTATAAAAAATTTGAAATACTCCAAAGCTTAAGGAATAGTGCTGCTATTGTCAACTATTAGCAAAGATGCACGGTCTCAGCTGCATGCTCACTCCCTTTTTTTGTTTTCTTCGTTCTTGGGGTTTTGACTTTTCTGCTTCTGGGTTTTGTTCTGAGGCAGACTGCAGCTCTTGGAAACTTTGGTCAGAGGTACCCGTGCTAACAGTTTCTGAAACGGGAAGGTACCCCAAAGTGGGAAGGCTTCTATGTTGGCGATTCAACAGTTTATCTCCATAAATCTGCGACCTATTTTTTTCCTTGCTAAATCCAGTCAGACACTAGTTGATCATCTTCTGTTAATTGATTCTCCTATATATAATGTTCTCTCCCACCCATTTGATCTGTAAATAGGTTTGTTGTCATGTAGTTCTCATGATCAGTTTTTAATTACGAAAGATTCCCATTGATCGAGTGAATGCATCCTAATTTACACAAATATTTCCTAACTGTCCAACCATCTGGATTTTACATATTGCACTTGTATTGCAAGTGTTAACAACACCCTAATGGACAGTTCTTACAGAAAGCACTGTATGCTTTTAGAGCTTTCTTGGGATAGCTTCCCTGAGGTTACTTTAACAAATCAGGCCTTGTTTTGGCCAGTTTTTAAAATTAATTTATTTCAATTTTAATTAGGTTTTAATGGATTCAGTGTGGTGTGCAGATAAAATTCCTTTAGTTTTACTGCCAGCTTGTTCTAGCAATATGTAACACCACCATTGCTTCAGGCCATGCTTACAGCATTTAAAGAAAGATGATTCATTGTCAAGTTTAACAGGATTTATACAGTGAAGTTCTGGTTTTTTAAATAAGAAACACAACTTTTTTGTTTCAAAGATTTATTTCACATTTATTGGAAAGTCAGATTTACAGAGGAGAAGAGACAGAGGAAGATCTTCTGTCCGTTGATTCACTCCCCAAACAGTTGCAACGGCCAGAGCTGCGACGATCCAAAGCTAGGAGCCAGGAGCTTCTTGCGGGTCTCACGCACAGTGCGGGTTCCCAAGGCTTTGAGCCATCCTCAACTGCTTTCCCAGGCCACAACAGGGGGCCAAGTGGGAAGTGGGGTTGCCAGGATTAGACCTGGCAGCCATATGGGATCCAGGCTTGTGCAAGGCGAGAACTTAAGCCGCTAGGCTACCGTGCCGGGCCCACAAAAGCAACTTTCATGTTAATTGTTTGTGTCTTAGAAATACTAAAATGAAGGTATTTTACAAATTGAGTGGCTCTGATCTTGTCTCTCTAATATAAAGAAGTGTTATTTGTGTACTCTTATTTTTTTTTTTTTAATTCATAACTACTGGGCCTGGTACGATAGCCTAGCAGCTAAAATCTTCACTTTGCACGCGCCAGGATCCTGTATGGGTGCCAGTTCGTGTCCCAGCTGCCCCGCTTCCCTTCCAGCTCCCTGTCTTTGGCATAGGAAATCACTAGAGGACGGCCCAAAGCCTTGGGACTCTTTTGGGAGCTCCATGTTAAATAAATTTCCCAGCAATAGGGTTTGGGATACGTTTGCAGTTAGCGTTTATGCTTGTTTTTATTCATTGAATCATAGGCATTTCTGATTTTTAATCATAAGGAAATAGCGAAGGATTTATTTTATAATGCAAATGTTAAATCTCACAGAATACAGGAAGTGTTGGATTTAAATATATTAAAAATAAGCTGTATTGATCCTATCATCTGTGTTCAAACTGGAATACATTTTACAAATGACCTTCTCACCTTTGATACTGTTGGCAGTGCACTTCCTGGTAAGTGCTAACTAGGCACACTAGCCTTGACTGAGTTCTTGTTTGCGGTATCTGAATGTACCAGGGAGGGAATCTTAATCTTTACAAGTCATTTGGAAAAGTTATGCTGAGAAAGCTGCAGGAGGAAGTGCAGAGGCTTGGGGAAGTTGGGTCATGGCTCAGAGCATCAAGGCTACAAATCCAGGTCACAGCCCGTTTCTAACGATGTGCTTCCTGTTTTCCCTTAGGCTGTACTCTGGCTCCTCCTCCTTTTCTTTTCTTTTTCTTTCCTTTTTTTTTTTTTTAAGATTGCTTTATTTTTGTTGGAAAGGTGGATATACAGAAAGGAGGAGAGAGAGAAGGATCTTCTTTTGCTGATTCACTCCACAAGTGGCCACAATGACCAGAACTGAACCAATTCGAAGCCAGGAGCCAGAAGATTCTTCGGGTCTGCTAAGCGGGTGCGGCTCCCAAGGCTTTGGGCCGTCGTTGACTGCTTTCCCAGGCCACAAGCAGGGAGCTGGAAGGGAAGCGAAACAGCAAAAACATGAACCAGCACCCATATGGATCCCAGCGCTTTCAAGAGAAGGATTTAGCCAATTGAACCAACACACCCACCCCTTTTCTGATTATTTTTGTAAGATTACCTCTTTCTCTCGAAGAGTAGATGGTGTTTCTAAAAATATAGAAGAGAAAATACAAAAGTTTTTTTGTTTGTTTGTTTTGCGGACTTTAAATTACACTGATGGGAGTGGCATTGCATTCATCTGTGCTGACTCAAGGCCTGGGCAGAGATTTGTGTTCAAAGGGATTTAAAAAAGAAAAAAGTTATAATTAAGAAAATGTTCCTGAGCCTGGTGTGGTAGCATGGTGGCTAAAATCCTCACCTTGTATTCACCATTATCCCATATGGGCGCCAGTTCTGGTATCTGCGGCCCCACTTCCCATCCAGCTCCCTGCTTATGGCCTAAGAAAACAGTCTAGGACTGCCCAAAGCTTTGGGACCCTGCATCCCTGTGTGAGACCCGCAAGAAGCTCCTGGCTCCTGGCTTCAGATTGTCGCAGCTCTGGCTGTTACAGTCAAGTGGGGAGTGAATCAACAGACAGGTGATCTTCCTCTATGTCTCTCCTCTGTAAATCTGACTTTCTAATAAAAGTGAAATGAATCATAAAAAAAAATTTTAAAGCTTTAAAAAAAAAGTCATTTTAAAAAGAAAGAATGTTCCCAATCATAATGCATTGTTTTGTCAGTAAATAAGAATCTGAAGTTATTCTAAATGATGACTACAAAAATGATTGTGTCGTCTGTGACTTAGTTTGCTGGTTCAAGTTTTCTCAGAGTTTATAAAAGCAGAAGTGTTCATTGTGTTGCTGTTATTAATCAAAAGTTTTGCTTCAAAATACTAATGTGTTAAATTTTGTTTGGTGGTGGCTTGTTGAAATTGTGCAGCGTGCCATGGGATAGTGGGGGAGTACACTGCTAAACTCAAAGTAGAAATTCGTTGTCGTGACTGATGCCGCCTGAGCATGCGTCGTCATATAAGGTGTGAAGACAGTACTCTGATGATTTTTTCTTTCCTAGGACCCTGTTCCCAGTGGCTTTTCCGCAGGGGAAGTTCTGATTCCTTTAGCTGATGAATATGATCCTATGTTTCCTAATGATTACGAGAAAGTAGTGAAGCGCCAAAGAGAGGAACGACAGAGGCAGCGGGAGCTGGAAAGGCAGAAGGAAATAGAAGAGAGGGAAAAGTAAGGCTTTCACTGGATGGGGGGTTTGCAATTGAAGTGTTTACTAGAGTATCAGTGCATGAACTTCAGCATTTAAGAGTGAAATTGTTGTGGTATGTTTGAACAATTAAGTAAAGGAATCTTTTGTTTGTTTGCTTGCCTTTTTTTTTTTTTTCAAAAATTTGTAGTTAGATCCCAGGATAGGAACAGGCTTGAATAAATTTCATTATAGATTCTGATAACCTGAAATACGAATTTTGAGTTTTTTGTTAGAAAAATAATCCAGAAACCTGGTCATGAAATTTTTTTCCTGTGTGATTGCCAGTATTTAAACATTTATAACTACTGCTTTTCAGCCAGGTGGGTTTTTTTAAACTTACATGCATCTTTTTAAAAAATATATGAGTGCAGGATTTGTTCTAATATTAAATAAATGTAAATTAAATGCTATATTGCTAACTTATTGAACCATTTCACAAATAAGAACATGTGTTCTAGATCATTGAAGTTATTGAATTATAACTATTGATGCACTTTATAATGGAAGCGGTAAATATTGAGGGAACTTTATTGCTAGTTATGCTCAATGTACCTATTAAATTTGTTTAGTCTTACCTTTTGAGGTTTTCTTAGTTTTCCTGTTTTAGCTAAATTTAATCTTAAAGCAGTTGTGTCTCCTTGTGTGCATCTGTTGTCTTCCCCCCCTACCCCAAAAATACATAATAATTTAGTATGAAAGAGAGGATTTGTATGTTTTCCATCCACGAGGACAGTCAAGATGCCATCCCAGCTTGTTATCCCCACAGTGGTTCACTTATAATGGATATCATTTCTTTTCTTGTCATAGGAGACGTAAAGATAGACATGAAGCTAGTGGGTTTTCAAGGAGACCTGACCCAGATTCTGATGAGGATGAAGATTATGAGCGAGAAAGGAGGAAAAGAAGTAAGTTGTGAATATTTTCTGTTTCAGACATGCTGCAGTCCCACTATGTACTTTTTATACTCTTTGAAAAGCTGATTTGAAGTTGATTTAGATGATTTTTCTCACATGTAGTCTCTTGTGAGCTTCTAAGTGCAGTTGCGTTTCTAGTCAGCACTAAAGGGTCCAGACACTCCCACTCATGTTCCTGACACACATAGACCTGAGGAATTCATTCGGGTTTTCTGGATGTAATTTCTTTCCATTATCACATGGGAGAGTGGGAAGGCAGGGTTTGGAACTAGGTGCTTGTAAGGGGCATTCTTTCTCTGTACTTGATGAGTAGAATTGTAATTCTGTTGGAGAAATCTTTTTTTAAATTATTTGAAAGCTCCCATCTACTAGTTGACTCCTCAGGTGTCCCAGTGGCCGGGAATGAGGCCCCAGGCAGGGAGATAGGAACCTAGTCAGTCAGTCATGCTGCCTGCCAGGGTCTGTGCTAGCAGGAAGCTAGAGTCGGGAGTCAGGAGTGGGAACCGAGGATCACACCCAGACGCTGGAACAGGGATGTGGACACCAGCCGCTCGGTCAGATGTCCTATTCAGGATACATTCTTAATGATGCTAACCGTGTTACAATGGACATGGAAAGAGTGGATGGAGGGTGCTCCTTAGTTTAGCTTCTGTAAAGCCCCATTGTCTTCCTGTTTTAAGGTTGAAAAGACTAAAAGACATAGAAGCATTTGTGTTTACCCTTTTCCATCCAGTAAACATGAATGGGAACTGTGACAGCATGTGGTGGCCTCTTCCAGAGCCAGAAGGACTCCCACTTCCAAAATGGGGTTTAGTTCTAGGAAAGGCTTCAGGGTGCCTGTGACAGAGAACTGAGTGTATTCCTTATGTGCCAGTTCATCTGTAAACTGGAAACAATAACCTATTTCTATTTTAAGGATTTATTTATTTTTAGTAGAAAGGTGGATAAATAGAGGAGGAGAGGCAGAGAGGAAGATCTGCCATCCAATGATTTACTCCCCAAGTGACCTCAAAGTCCGGTACTTGCTGATCAGGAGCCAGGAGCTCTTCCGGGTCTCCCACGCGGGTGCAGGGTCCCAAGGCTTTGAGCCATCCTCTACTGCCTTCCCAGGCCACAAGCAGGAAGCTGGATGGAAAGTCAGGCTACCAGGATTAGAACTGGCGACCATATGGGATCCTGGCGTGTGCAAGGCGAAGACTTTAACCATTACACTATCGTGCCAGGCCTACCAATAACCTATTTCAAAGGTTTATTATAAAGCCTAGATGAGATCATGCATATGAGAATGCCTGAAGGGTTAACACATGCTCTGTAAACTGTTTTGCCTTAAAATTCGCTTTGACTACATTCTGGGGTTCTTGAATGGCTTTTGTGAAGAAACAGTTTCGCCTGTGTAGATGTTTTCACTTTTCTTCATTCCTTTGTAAATTTGTAGTTATTTGAGGAATAGAGCTCCCACAACCTGGGCTGCTCCCCGAATGCCCACAGTGGCCTGACTGTGGGCAGAAGCTTGGAGCCAAGATTTCCGTGCAGGTCTGCCATGTGATGGCAGAGAGCATCACTGCTGCTTCCTAGGAGTCAGAGCCGGAAGCTGAGATGAGGTGCCATGGCTGGGGTGTGAGTGCTGGTCCACTGACTGACTCTGGGCATCCTGACCAGCATTGTAACTGCTCAGCCAAGTAGCTCTTCCCAGATTTCTGCATTTTTAATTCTAGCTTCAAATGGATCTTCAGTTAATTGTATATTAGCAAAGAAGATGAAGTCCCAGGTCTTTACCTTTCCCCTCGCTTAGGGGTATGTTGATAGAAAGAATAAAGCCTGTTAAAGTCCCTTGAGAGGGCGGCATTGGAAACATTTTCTTTCCCTCCTTTAACCCATGTGTTTGTTTTTGCAGGTATGGGCGGAGCTGCCATTGCCCCACCTACTTCTCTTGTAGAGAAAGACAAAGAGTGTATGTAGATCTGTTTTTTCCCCTTCTATTCTGTTACAGTCATGACCTTAACTATGAGTTGTATCTCAATGCCTGAGTTCACAGAAAACAGCCTGGAAACCCATCTTCTGGCTCTGACTCTGAGGGAAAAGCTGGGCCAGAGCTGCTGCTGTCTTTCCTTCTGGGTATCTTTAACCCTTTGTCTGGCAGGATCTTAGGCGTAGGTTTTCATGCAGTGAGAGCAATCCTCCCCACCATCCCCTGTCAATTTGGTTTGTGTTCTCCAACACGTCACTAAGTTCCTTTGTTTTATTTACAGCCCTCCACAAGGGGGCAATGCATTCATTGGTTATTTGTTTTCTCCTGAAGGTACTGTTTCTTCTTCCAATGAGCTATTTCACATTTGGGCTTTGCAACTGAAATGTGAAAGACCATTTTCCATTGCTCTGCATTGATCACATCTCAGTATCCCAAGAAAACATTGTTATACAAGGACTGTTCATACCTGTTGCAATATTTGGGTTTGTTTGTTTTTTTTTTTTTTTTTTTTTGGTTGTTGTTGTTAAGATGATTTTTTGTTTGTTTGTTTTTGTGTTTTAGTATACCTGTTATGAATAAAAGCTGAGAACACATTCCAGTTGAAACCGATGTCAGAGAGTAGGGTCCAGGCTTCGGGATAGTTCTCAAGCTTGTGTTTGGTTTAATGAGCATCTGCTGTCAGAGGCCTTTGTGGCCTATGAAACTGAGGAGAAAGAAGGTTTAGTCTTAAGTCAGGTCTGTAGACACGTGAGAATCAGAAGAGATGTATTTTCCTTGGAACATACAGAAAATCTAAGAATTCATGCTAGGATTGTCTCTTTAGGAGTGTTTTAAAGGGTAAATGATGCTTCAGTAACATGCTAAAAGGACGTGTGGTGAAATACAGATAGTAGAAGCACTGTTAGAATCAGTGATCAGTGTTCCCCATTTGTTCTTTGGAAAAGATTTACTTCTTACGGTAAACCAGAAGTGTATTTTAAATTACTTTTAAGTCATCGATATAGGTGTGGTTTGACAGTTTCCTTCCTAGTGTTTTGTGAGCCTGGTTTGTTTTTCTCCCCCAGTGCCCCGAGATTTTCCGTATGAAGAAGACTCCAGACCTCGATCCCAGTCTTCCAAAGCCGCCATTCCTCCCCCCGTGTACGAGGAGCAGGACAGACCGAGGTCTCCAACAGGGCCTAGCAACTCCTTCCTTGCTAATATGGGGTAATGATTTTAAGTGCTGTTATGTTAGAAAATGTAAAAGTGGCTTGAGAAAACACATGAAATGTTGGTAGCTCAGATGAGTAGACACAGCTTGACTGCACACAAGGGCCTTCAGGACTGACCACAGGGAGATACTGGCCAGTTCAGTCAGTGCCTTTCTCAAAGAATCCGTGCCCAAGATGACATTGATCTCATATGAGTTTTGAATGTCTTAGATGTTGAACATTATTTCTCTAGATAAGAATGCTTTCTGATAATTATTTATATTTATTTTCATAACATTTGCAAATAAAATAGTATAGGAATTAGAGTTGAGTTAGACTGTGGCCAAAGGGTAAGTAACTTTTTTTTTTTCCCTCTCTAGTAGGTCATTTGCTTTGGTCATTCTTAGTATAATCAGACATTTGGATGGGGCTCATGGACTGGTGTGTTTTCATGCCTACTGTCATTTGTTAGGGACTGTCAAATGAAACAGCATCACACCAAGGGCTCAGCTGTGTGGTGTTTAGCAAGATGCTGCCTTTTGTACAAGGGCAGCCAGTGAGGCCCTGGAGCTGCCACGCTTACTCACCTCCACTGGTCACACACGGAATAGATGGGTGAGGTTCATGCACACCAGAAGTGTTTTGAGTTTCTGTTTTTTATTTATTTATTTATTTTTTATTGTTGTTTACATTGTATTATGTGGTACAGTTTTATAGGCGCTGGGGATTCTCCCCACCCCTCCCATACCCCTCCCCCCATGGTGGATTCCTCCACCTTGGTGTTTTGAGTTTCTGACTCTGGGTACCCATATCCTAATTTGCCTGACTCTTCATGGTAGCTGTTTGCCGAAGTAACTGATATTAATTTGAAATTTAAAAAATGTAAGTCTAGTTCCTCAGGCACACTAATAAATTTCAAGAACTCAGTAGCCACATGTAGCTAATGGTGATCATGTTTGACACTGTAGATAGAAAGGATTTCCATTATAAGTTATAAATTTTATTGGGACAGTGCTTACCTAGAATGTATGCTGGAGATTTGCCTTTTTTTTTTATACTGCTTACTGGTAAAAGTTGATATTTTACTGACTTCCATTTTAAACAGGAACCATGTTTAACTTATGCATAAGAAAGATGTAATGTGGTACAATTGAAAAAACTTTATGGTTCAGTTTTAAGCAACATGATCACCTCGGGGAGCCTTTGAGATTAATGTGGCACCCCACGATTGAGTGTGAAAGCCTGATGCTATTGTAAAAAAAAAAAAAAAAAACAGTGGACTAGCAGGCAAGACTCATGATTTCATTATGCCTTAATTAACACCCATAGAAATAATTCCTGAATGTTGTGACTTCTTTAGTTCCATTCAGACAGTAAGTCTATCACCTAATGTTTGTTAAATAGATGATCTCCAAGCGGTCGTTGATTTAAAAGTCTTTCATTGGACCTCTGTGCTAGTTAGAAAAATGCAGTTATTGTTGTTTGAAACTTGGTGCTTATTTTTTGACAGGCTGCTCTTTGCACAAAACTGGTCCTAAACTCTGTAGCATTGCAGTTCTGGGAACACACACCGATGAGAGAAGTAGAAATAACAGATTATCTGGATTGCAGTTGTTAGCTTAGAATATTCATTTCATCCAGTTTCCCTCTAAAGACTCGTTAATTATCTGTGATTTCATTGAAATCCTTGTGGAATGTACACTGTTTCCCTGGAAAGAGATCGTAGTGATATAAAATTGAACTTCGAGATGATAATGTCAAATGTAAGGAATATTTTCCATTCTCCTCCTAGTGGCACAGTAGCACATAAGATCATGCAGAAGTATGGCTTCCGAGAAGGCCAGGGTCTGGGAAAGCATGAGCAGGGGCTGAGTACCGCATTGTCGGTGGAGAAGACCAGCAAGCGGGGCGGCAAGATCATTGTGGGTGATGCCATGGAGAAGGGTGAAGCCCAGGGTAAGTGTACCAAGAAGCATTGCTGCCACAGCGCAGCTGGAAAGGCTGGTGGGCTGTGATGTGGCAATTCTGTGTTCATGATGCATTTCTGCTTCTATTTGTGAGATGAAGAATCCTAAAGTTTGTATTGTAGAGACATAAAAGTCTCGTGGGACAAAGAGACAGTGAGGCTTCGACAGGAAATGAACAGTCTTGAGGAAAGTTACTTTGTAATACCTGCTTAGGGCAGAGAATCTTGTTTTCTTCCTAAAATAATATTTATATTTTTATAGAATGAAGGACAGAACCATGTATAGAATACTAGTTATTTTACATGATAGATCTTTACTTTCTTCAGGACATCTTGGGTACTTTTTGTCCTTTTTCTATACTCTGAGATGTGGTTTCTAATTTTCTTAGAGTTTGCTTACTCTGTGAAATATAATGTGCAGTCTGTTGGTAGATGATTTTATTTTCATTTGAGTTTCACAGTCTGTACTGAGAGTGTATAGGAATGAGAGAGGTGTATCATAGCACTTCAATTGGGAAAGTTGAGTTAGTTTTGAGGCAGCTTAGCTGAACTCCCTTTCTTAAAATAAAAAGAAAACTTTTCAGGCAGCCGTATTGATGTACAACTCAGAACGCAGCTAGTTAATGTAGCATTAACATGGTGGTTCTGTGAATTGGTGAGAATATGTTGAGTTAGCCAGCTGTAATTAACTACATGTTACTCTGGGCTAATGACCTTAGGCTGTTTGTTAGACCAAGCCACCTCTCACCTGTCATTGCTGTGGCCCATCTGATCTGTCAGCCTATCAGAAAGTGAAAGTGAAATGGGTAAAGGTTGCAGGTAATGATGAAAGTTAAAATTTTTCCGTAATAGTCATAAAAACATAAAGCAGGCACTTTCATTGCAGGTAAGCCAATTTTTTTTGCTCAGAAACTGATTGTATACATGCTTTTAGATGATTCTAGGACATAAATGGTGAAAATAGCTCTTGAAATTGGTTGCTTTAAGTAGGACTCCTGCCGTGACATGTCTGATGCTATATTTTATACAGATGCATCGAAGAAGTCGGATTCAAATCCATTAACTGAAATACTTAAGTGTCCTACTAAAGTCGTCCTACTAAGGGTGAGAAGCAAAAGAAGCCAGTCTGTCCCCTGTGGTTTTTATTACCCCATCCTAGACCCTGCCCCTCCTGCTTCCACACTCCCTGCCCCTTGCTAACAGTTAAAACTAAAATAATACATTTGTGTAGATCCTGTGTAAGTTTGACTTCAGATTTCCTATTAGTAGTATGTAAAACTATAGTGAGTAATTACTTTGAAATATTTGAAATTTCTAAGACTTGATCTGAGTTTAAACATTTTAGTGCTTATATAAATGCTCTTATAGCTCTTCCAAATTTAATGTATGTTTTGGTGTTTTAAGAAGTACCAGTGACAGAGTTTTTTGTTGTGTCGTTTGGGATTGAATACATTTGCTGTTATGAATAAAACTCATTTCTTTGTTATGTATTTGTAAATTATACTCAGCTCTTGAATTTTTTGTTTGTAGAACATGGTTGGTGCAGGAGAGGTAGATGAAGACTTGGAAGTTGAGACCAAGGAAGAATGTGAAAAATATGGCAAAGTTGGAAAATGTGTGATATTTGAAGTAAGGGTTGTTTTGTTTAATGTTTATAACCTAAGTTGTAATTAACAGATCATAAAACATTTCTTGCACGTAGAGAATATTACTATAAGTAAATGAATGTATGCCAAAAGTGGGACAGTAGTTCCACTTCTTAGTGTAACAGTTTTAAACATGCAAACAAAAATTACTTCAAATGTGATTTGAAGTTAGACATTTTTAAAATTCATTTATTCAAAGGGAAGAATTAAGAAGAAACAGATCTTTCATCTGCTGGTTTACCTTCCAGGCAGCTACAACTACAGGGCCTATGCTATTCTGAAACCTGGAGACAGGAGCTTCCCTCTGGGTGGCAGGGCCCCTAGCACTGGGGCCACGTTCTGCTGCTTTCCCAGACACGTTGCAAGGAGCTGGCTATGACGCTGGAGCCCAGACTTGAGCTGGCACTCATATGAAATGCCAGCTTTTCAGATAGTGGTTCTACCCAGTATACCGTGACTCTGGCCTCCAGAAATATTCATTCCATTGCTGAGGCTCAGTATAGTGATTAAATACTTTGATTATAATGTGCTGAAATAACTGAGCTAATTAAACATGCCTTTGGTTTCAGTCATGTGCCAGGTATTTATTTAGTGCCTCTCGTAGGCTCTATATTGAGAGCATTTGGGACACAAGGAACCATTCTGTGCTCTGGTATGTTCAGTTGAAGGATAAACACAGGTAAACTAGCTAGAGAATATTGAGCTGCTGAACTTGGCTTGTGTCACCTATAACTATAGAAGGTAATATGATTAAATTAGAAAAACAGTGGGGCTTTGAATGATGTCAGATAGGAGCTTAGCTTTGAAATGAGTAAGTTGAGTTTGTTGGGGAGGGACTGGGAGAAGGGAGTTTATATTAGGAAAAAGCTTCTGGGAGTCAGATGGAATGGGTATGAGGCATTGGCAGGAGACATGTTTATATAAATGGAAGAGTCACAGTGTAGAGGGCTTCGAAAACTAGACAGTCAAAATTGAGATCTAAAATCAAAAGCAATTAGAGCGCAAATCTAAAATGTCTGCTTTCATGATTTTGTTTTCCTTTGTCATGTTGCTATTTGTGAATTACATAATTGTTTGCTTGTCCATCGGTTGGCATAGGACTTCTTAAAGCTCAGAGACTTCCTTTCTTAGCTATGTGTTCCTATCACCCAACTTGGTGGCTTTTACGAAACAGACATTCAGTACCGTCTTTCATGACAAACAACTTAAACTTACTTGATTTGTTTTGGACAAATATTGTCTGTGTGTGCTGGTGAGTAGAAAGTTTTCTCTAACACAAATCATTTAAAGGAGAAAGCTCAGTCAGTGCTAACTTAAATGTTGCTCTTGCTCATTGTCATATCTTTTCCAGATTCCCGGTGCTCCTGATGATGAAGCAGTACGGATATTTTTGGAATTTGAGAGAGTTGAGTCTGCAATTAAAGGTAATCTTACATATGAAGAATACAATTGAATTTGTGACCTTAGCTTTCATGAATGAGAAGTTACCATTTACAGTGAATGCTGTTGTGATGTCTCACAGGATCCCTGTACTTACTGACTGGGTTTTTTTGTTTGTTTGCCTTTTAGCTGTTGTTGATCTGAATGGGAGGTATTTTGGTGGACGTGTGGTAAAAGCATGCTTCTACAATTTGGATAAATTTAGGGTGTTGGATTTGGCAGAACAAGTTTGATTTTACGACTCGAGCGCAGGTCATCTCCAGGATGACCACCGTCCATTGAATGAACTGCAGACTGAGCAGAGGAGAAGGAATGACAGAGGCCTCCATGGATAGAGACTTGGAAGGACTTCCTAAGATATATGTTGGTTATCCCTTTTTTTATTTTGTGGTTTTTTAATATAGCATAAAAATCCTTTAAAAAAAAAAACAACAATCTGTGTGCCTCTCTGTTTCTCTTTTTTATTTATTATTACTTCTGAGGTGATCACTTTTTACCCAGATTTCATGATAATTCTCAAGCACTTTGATGATGCAGCATATCTTGCACTTAAAATAAGTAGGGAGTTTGGGGAAGTGGGGTTGTATTAAGTTATCCTTTGTTTTTCTTTCTCTTCTCCCCTCTTTAATAAAGCCTTCAAGTTAATAAAGTAGCTTCATAAATTCTGTGATAAAGTATGACCTTGGCAGTCAGCCAAACATAAAAAGGCCTGCTTTCTCGGATAGAGATTGCTTTTTAGTGACTCCAATCAGAAAAAATTCCACAGCCTGAAGTAAGACTGAAAATTTGTGAACCTACTATGACCTGTTTGGATGAATAATTTGTCATTAAGTTAAGTCAAACTGTGGGGTTTGTGGTGGATTCACGGAACTTGTGGGTAGAGAAATCATGAATCATTTGTTTTCAGAGATTCAGTTTATTCTTTAGGGCAGATAAGAACTGACAAGTTGACTCAGAGCCTGGCCAGTACATTGAAAACGTGTGCCCGGTGATGTTTGGGAGGTGACAGTTCAATGGGGTCATGTTTCTACTGGCAGAAATCCAGCAATGTTAGCGTTATTGTATCATTTTAAAATTTAGACAAAGCAGCTACTACAAATTGATGTGGTTTCTGAAATTATGAAAAATTGTACCACTGAACTTTCATCATTGATACGTGTGTCTGAAAAATTTAGCAGGACCACAAAAAGAAAATAAAACATTCATTACTGAGGCTCATTCCCAGGGCAGCAGATGTTTGCATCAAGTACTCAAGCTTATGGTCTGTTCCTTGCTTTTGCCCTAATACTCCATGTGACTTTGTTTGAAATGGCGACTAGACATGAACCTATGTTGTCTTTTTAGGTTATTATAAATGCAGGTATATTGTGAGCTTTGGGTGACAAAGCTCAACATTTCTTTGTGTCCATGGACTTGGTTTGGACACAAATATTCTGACCCTTTTTATAAAAGGACTTGTTCATGTTTCTATCGAACATAAATAAAGGAGGAGTAACACTTGACTGAAGTTCTCTGATTAAAGTGCATATATTGTGCGAAGGAAGTTGGGTCAGAGAATACAAGGTAAAAGGAACTAAATATGGGCCCGGTATAGCAGCTAAAGTCCTCACCTTGAATGTGCCGGGATCCCATATGGCTACCAGTTCTAATCCTAGTGGCCCTGCTTCCCATTCAGCTCCCTGCTTGTGGCCTGGGAAAGCAGGCGAGGATGACCCAAAGCATTGGGATTCTGTACCCGCGCAGGAGACCCAGAAGAAGTTCCTGGCTCCTGGCCTCAGATCAGCTCAGCTCCAGCCATTGTGGCCACTTGGGGAGTGAATCATCTTCCGATCTTCCTCTCTGTCTCTCCTCCTCTCTGTATATCTGACTTTGCAGTAAAAATAAATAAATCTTTAAAAACAAAACAACTACATAATTTGATGTTTTTGCTTTTTTTTTTTTAAGATTTTATTATCTTTTATTACAGAGTCAGATTTACTGCTTGACTGCTTTCCAGGGCCAGGGAGCTGAAGGGATGTGGAGCAGCCAGGATACGAAGTGGCACCCACATGGGATCCTGGCACATGCAAAGCAAGGATTTTAGCCACTAGGCTACCGTGCCAGGTCCTACATAATTGGAGGTTTAAGCAGTCTGAAACTTTTGAACATTTGAACTTAGAAGTATCTAGATGCCAGATATTCTGATGGCTAGTGTAATTTGTATGTCTATTTTAGGAATCATCCAAATCTTAATTAGTCACTTAGTACATTCTGTGTCATGAGTAAGAACATTGTTTGATTGTACAGTGCATGAATAATAGGATTGTGATAATTTCAAGATCTGCAAGTTAGTCTTGAGAAATTTTAGTGTAAACTGACTTTAAATTGCAATATAACATTTTCATAAAAACTTTCATGTAACTAGCAATGTTTACTGTGGTAGGCATTTGTAATTCATCTGGATTTCATAAAAATGTTAAGAAAGAATCCGAAGGAGACACAGAGAGAGCTTCCACCCACTACCCGAATGTCTGCCATAGCTAGGTTGGGCCAGACTGAAGTGAGGAGCCTGGAACTCTCCCAGGCCTCCTACATGGGTGGCAGGGGTCTCAGTGCCGGGGCCGTATTCCACTGCTTTTGCATTTGCATTAGAAGGAAGCCCAATCAGAAGTGTGACAGCTGAGAGCCAAACGCGTGCTCAGGTGGAATGCTTGTGTCACAGGCAGCAGCTTAATGTGCTGTGCCACAACACCAGCCTCTCCCTGAAACTTTTTGTGAAGCATCAGTGATTTTGTACTCCTCCACCCAAACTTCACAATAAGTTTAATGTTTATTTTTGCTTCAGTTTAAGCAGAATATGAGCCACTGATGTTAGTGCGTCACTCTGTCCTGTTCAGACATGTTACCGCAAGGTAACGTGAATACATTTATGTGCAGAAGAATTGAGGTCTGTGCAGAGTTTTTTCATCATCCCAAAAGGGAAACGGGAATGCTGCCATGTGTTAGTCACATCTTAGGCAGCTGTAACCAGACCAGACAATTCAAATCAGTCTACAGCTTAAGTGTGACCAGCCGCTTCACTTGAACATGCCAGTTAGAATTAAGTCACATGTTGTCTGTTACAGTCTGAAATGCTGTAATAAAACAACATAAACTCACTATTTTACGAACAACAGATATTTATGTATTATAGTTCTGGAGGTAGAAAGGACGAGATCGAGGCAAGAACAGTTTCAGTTTCAGATTCACTTTGGTTCACAGATGATTGTCTTCACCCTGTGTTTCTGATATTTCCACATTCATTTGACACATTCTACATTGCATCAGAGTCCCCCAGCCTCCTAAGTAATTGTTTTTAATTTCTCAGCATTAAAGTTTATTTGGTGTTCTGCAAAGCTCAGAGTATTGGCATGTTTAACATTGTGTTCACCCACCACTAAGGTATCATACAGAATAGTTGCACTGCTCTTGCAATCCTCTGTGCTTTGAAGTTACCTCTTTTTTTCAAATCTCACCCTATCTCCATCCCTGGCACCTGCTGAACATTTGCCATGTATAGCTTTTCCTTTTCTAAAATGTCATTACTGGAATCATAATTGATTCAGGGTTTGGGGGGGTTTTTTGTTTGCTTGTTTTACAGTGACTTTTTTAGTAATGTGTGTTTAAGATTCATCCATATCTTTGTGGCTCAAACTCATTTATTGTTTTTTTTTTTTAATGATGAATAATTCTTTTGTGGATGCATGAGTTTATTCACTCATCTGTTGAAAAGCATATTCTAACCCACAGCAGTTAGAGTGAAACTGCTGTAAACACCCATGAGCACGTTGTTTGTGAGCATTAGTTGGGTAAATATTTATGAGTGCGGTCACTGAAGTGCATGGAGAGAACTACTTTTGTCTCCCATATTTACAAACTCTCCATCTGCTAGCATATAAACATACTCAAATTTCTCCCTCCTTAGGGTTGAAAAAGAGGGTCAGTTCCTTGAATTTTTAAATCACCCTGTTTTCATAGCCAGGCTTCTTCAAGAGTCACCTGCTTCGTGTGGCCACCTCCTGACACTCTGGTTACCTCTTCCATTCAAGCTGCACTCGCAGAATGAGGGTTGTATTGGATCACAAATGAGACTTCTGCTCCCGCCAGGTCCCCTACATTGTAGTTTAGATCAGTGTGACCAAGGTATAATGGACGCTGTTGTCTTACTCTTGGTGGCTTTTCACAGCAGTTCTTTAGAACTGAGTGATCACTGTTCTGATGTTCCCCTTTGTCAGCGTTCATCCTCTTAAGTGAAGCCTCACCTGTTCATCTAAATCAGAAACCTAGCAACCTTCTGAATTCTCCCTTCTATTCCAACCCAGTGTGCTGGTGTTATTTGTTTTCCGTCTTTTGCTTTGACCCAGTGGAATTCAGTTATTTCAGATCCTCAGATCTCTTGTCTGGAACAGGCTGCTGGCTTCAGCTGAGCTCTGCTATGCTTTTCATTGCTCTGATCTGCCAAGGCAGTACCTCAGCAGTTCAGTCTCCTATTCTGCGTAAAACTCTTTATCAGTCTGCTTGGCGGGGTCTGGATTCAGGCTAGCAAGCTGGGGAATGAATTGTCACCACCCTTGTTCATGGTCTTACCTCACCACACCACCTCATGGTCCAGGAGAGAGAAGCAAGGCCAATTGCTTTTGTTAATGTTCATCTCGGCACTGTTCTTTCCTCCATCTTTCCATCGGTTACCCTGCGCTTAGCGAGCATGCTAGGTTATCAGCAGCACCTGCCTGAAAATGAAAAGCAGCAGTTCTCCACTGTACCTCTGACATAGTAACTGGTTGTTACTTGGATTGCTTCTCATCTCTGCCTCCGTATTTTTCAAGACATCTTTTTTAGAGCATAACATGTATTCATTTCAAAAGGGGCAAAGATTTTCCATCTGTTAGTTCACTCCGCAAATACTTGAAAGAGCCAGGGTTAGTCCAGACTGAAACCAGGAGCCCAGAACTCAGTCTCATGTGGGAAGCAGGACTCAACTCCTTGCTACTCACACCAACACCTACTGCTTGAGAAGGTGCACTTGGGTAGGAAGCTCTAATCAGAACTAGAGCTGAAATTCAAAGCCAGGCACTCAGATAAGGTGTGTGAATGTCCCAAATGCTGTTAATGGTTGTGCCAATCACCCATACATCTTTACAAAGCTGCTTCCTTCATAGGTAGACATTTCCGAAATGGGCTATACTTAATCTCCACCATTATAATGTGCATACATATGACTCCACCTACTATAAGTCAAGTAAATTTAGAAAATGGTAACACTGCTCAAGGAGAGTGCAATGCAAGAGAGAAGAAAAGTAGTTCTCAAGAAAATACTGAAGGGAAGTCTTGATCCAGTAACTGCAGAGGCCTAGAGACCCATCAGTCCATGGAGAACATAACAAGGAAGGAAGGATTCTATGAGCGATGAGAAGAACTAGGGTACGCCATACTCTGACTTAATTCAGGAAAAGCATTAAGTTGTGTAATAATGAGGAACATGGTGTGCAAGTAGCTTGGCTAGAAGTAATGTAGTGTCATAAATACTGATCCTTTTTCGGTGTAGCCTTACAACTAACTTGAACAAATGGGAAGGTAGGAGGAGATATTTGTGAATTTTCCACCTGAGAATTAATATCCTTTATTTTGGAATTTTTTCTTATATTGCTTTGATGACTTCCTCCCTTTTATTGCATCGATATTTTAGAATTTTTGTTTATTTCTTTTATTTTTTTAAAGATATAGTTATTTTTATTGGAAAGTCAGATATACCAAGAAGAGACAGGCAGATTCTGTTTGTTGATTCACTCCCCCAAGTGGCCACAAAAGCCGGAGCTGAGCTGAGCTGATCCGGAGCCAGGATCCTCCACCAGGTCTCCCAAGTGGACACAGGGTCCCAGGACTTTGGGCCGTCCTCAACTGCTTTCCAGGCCACAAGCGGGGAGCTGGATGGGAAGCAGGGGGACCTGGACCCAACCCGGCACCCATATGGGATCCT